CTGGTTTAGTCTGGGTCCTGGTTTAGTCCTGGTTAGTCCTGGTTTTCCTGGTTTAGTCCTGGTTTAGTCCTGGTTAGTCCTGGTTTAGTCCTTGTTAGTCTGGTTTTAGTCCTGGTTTAGTCTGGTTAGTCCTGGTTTAGTCCTGGTTTAGTCCTGGTTTAGTCCTGGTCTAGTCTAGGTTTAGTCCTGGTTTAGTCCTGGTCCTGGTTAGTCCTGGTTTAGTCCTGGTTAGTCCTGGTTTAGTCTGGTCCTGGTTTAGTCCTGGTTTAGTCCTGGTCCTGTTTAGTCCTGGTTTATGGTCTAGTCCTGGTTTAGTCCTGGTTTAGTCCTGGTTTTAGTCCTGGTCTAGTCCTGGTCTAGTCCTGGTTTAGTCCTGGTTTTAGTCCTGGTTAGTCTGGTCTGGTCTAGTCCTGGTTTAGTCCTTTTAGTCCTGGTTTAGTCCTGGTTTAGTCCTGGTCTAGTCTGGTTCAGTCCTGGTTCAGTCCTGGTTAGTCCTGGGTTCTAGTCGTCCTGGTCTAGTCCTGGTTAGTCCTGGTGTTAGTCCTGGTTTAGTCCTGGTCTAGTCCTGGTTTAGTCCTGGTTTAGTCCTGGTTTAGTCCTGGTTAGTCCTGTAGTCCTGGTCTAGTCCTGGTTTAGTCCTGGTCTAGTCCTGGTTAGTCCTGTCTAGTCCTGGTTTAGTCCTGGTTTAGTCCTGGTTAGTCCTGGTCTAGTCCTGGTTTAGTCCTGGTTTAGTCCTGGTCCAGACCCGGGAGCAGCTGTTTCTTCATTCCTCACATTTTAATAACAGACTCAAATATCAGAAATGATCTCAGCTCTTAAAGGAACCACAACTCACCCAAGAAAACCTCCCTGCCCCTCGTCCAGTCCCCGGTTCAGTCCTGGTCTAGTCCCCGGTCTAGTCCTGGTCTGGTCACATTTTAGTCCTGGTCCAGTCTTGGTTTAGGTCCATGTTTTGGGGCCGTTGGGGTCTTTTTGGAGGAGGAGACCAGAGACGAGATCTGAGTCTAAAGGAGGGACTGAACATGATCCACGAGAACCAGGACTCAGCCAAGAACAGGACAAACCAGGAGAGAAACCAGGAAACCAGGACTGAACCAGGACTGAACCAGGACTAAACCAGGACTAAACCAGGACTGAACCAGGACTGAACCAGGACTGAACCAGGACTGAACCAGGACTGAACCAGGACTGAAACCAGGACTGAACCAGAACCAGGACTAGAGAACCAGGACTGACTGAACCAGGACTAACCAGGACTGAACCAGGGCCAGGACTGACTAAACCAGGACTGAACAGGACTGAACCAGGGACTGAACCAGGACTGAACCAGGACTAAACCAGGACTAAACCAGGACTAAACAGGACTGAACCAGACTGAACCAGGACTAAACTAAACAGGACTAAACCAGGACTAAACCAGGAACTAAACCAGGACTGAACCAGGACTGAACCAGGACTGAACCAGGACTAAACCAGGACTGAACCAGGACTGAACCAGGACTAAACCAGGACTAAACAAACCAGGACTGAACCAGGAAAACCAGACTAAACCAGGACTAAACCAGGACTAAACCAGGACTGAACCAGGACTGAACCAGGACTAAACCAGGACTGAACCAGGACTGAACCTTAACTGAACTAAGTAAACTAAGAATTTCTCTCTTAAAAATATAATCAACTCAAGTCTACACGAAATCCTGTTGTAGTCCAGGTTTAGTCCAGGTTTAGTCCAGGTTTAGTCCTGGCTGAAACCTGGTTCAGTCCGGTCTCAGGTTGGGTCCTGGTTTTCCCCGGTCCACATTCCTCCAGAGTCACTTCCTGTCTTTGAGTTATTAGATTAAAACTCATTCAATTACACAAAGATCACGTCAGCACACGAGGACTAAACCAGGTCTAAACCAGGTCTAAACCAGGTCTAAACCAGGTCTAAACCAGGTCTAAACCAGGTCTAAATACAGACTGAACCAGGACTAAATGGAGTCCCAGACTTGGGCTTGGACTGGTCCTGGTCTGAGGGTCTCGAGTTGCTGCAGCTGTTTTTGTGCAGAAACATTTGTGACCACAACCACAAGAACTAATAATGAACCAGGACTAAACCAGGACTAAACCAGGACTAAACCAGGACTAAACCAGGACTAAACCAGGACTAAACCAGACCTAAACCAGAACTAAACCAGACTAAACCAGACTAAACCAGGACTAAACCAGAACTAAACCAGGTCTAAACCAGAACTAAACCAGAACTAAACCCAACTAAACCAGGAACTAAACCAGAACTAAACCAGAACTAAACCAGAACTAAACCAGAACTAAACCAGAACTAAACCAGGAACTAAACCAGAACTAAACCAGGACTAAAAACTAAACCAGAACTAAACCAGGACTAAAACCAGGACTAAACCAGGTCTAAACCAACTAAACCAAACAGGGACTAAACCAGGACTAAACCAGAACTAAACCAGGACTAAAACCAGGACTAAACCAGGACTAAACCAGGACTAAACCAGAACTAAACCAGACTAAACCAGAACTAAACCAGGAACTAAACCAGGACTAAACCAGAACTAAACCAGAACCAGACTAAACCAGGACTAAACCAGCAGGACTAAACCAGGAACTAAACCAGACTAAACCAGAACTAAACCAGGTCTAAACCAGAACTAAACCAGAACTAAACCAGAAACTAAACCAGGACTAACCAGGACTAAACCAGGACTAAACCAGGACTAAACCAGGACTAAACCAGGACTAAACCAGGACTAAACCAGAACTAAACCAGGAACTAAACCAGGGACTAAACCAGGACTAAACCAGGACTAAACCAGGACTAAACCAGGACTAAACCAGGACTAAACCAGAACTAAACCAGGACTAAACCAGGACTAAACCAGGTCTGACTTGACTGATGTGTTTTTATCTGTGTGAGTTTGTGATTTTTGTTGTTTTGGAAACTCAGGTCATTTTTTCTGCTGACTCATGTTTAAACAGAATGAGTCGTGTTTTAGTCTCTGTGTTCTGCCCCCTGCAGGTTCACACAGGTACTACACTCCCCTCTAATCTGTCTCCAGGTCCTGACTCGTGACCTGACTTGACCTGACTCGTGACCTGTCTCGACCTGACTCATGACCTGACTCAACCTGACTCATGACCTGACTCATGACCTGACTCATGACCTGACTTGTGACCTACTCGGGACCTGACTCGTGTTCTGTCTCGACCTGACTTGTGACCTGACTCGTGACCTGACTCGACCTGACTTGACCTGACTTGTGACCTGACTTGTGACCTGACTCCTGACCTTACTCCTGACCTGACTGTGTGTGTGTTTCAGGATTACCTGGGCTGTATCATCGAGTGTGGAGATGTTCCTCTGAAGCCGGAGCAGGTCAGCGCCCTCTTCTGTAACATCGAGGACATTTACGAGTTCAACAGGTAAAAACACCAACACCTGAACCACAGCACACTGCCCCCTTCACACTAGTGTGTGTGTGAGTGGTGTTGTTGTGTGTACAGTGTTGTTCACACTAGTGTGTGTGTGAGTGGTGTTGTTGTGTGTACAGTGTTGTTCACACTAGTGTGTGTGTGAGTGGTGTTGTTGTGTGTACAGTGTTGTTCACACTAGTGTGTGTGTGAGTGGTGTTGTTGTGTGTACAGTGTTGTTCACACTAGTGTGTGTGTGAGTGGTGTTGTTGTGTGTACAGTGTTGTTCACACTAGTGTGTGTGTGAGTGGTGTTGTTGTGTGTACAGTGTTGTTCACACTAGTGTGTGTGTGAGTGTGTTGTTGTGTACAGTGTTTTTCACACTAGTGTACAGTGTGAGTGGTGTTGTGTTGTGTGTACAGTGTTGTTCACACTAGTGTGTGTGTGAGTGGTGTTGTTGTGTGTACAGTGTTGTTCACACTAGTGTGTGTGTGAGTACAGTGTGATGGGGACTGTGTGAAAACACTGATACTGTGATGTGTGTCTGTCACCACCGACTCACCACAAAACACTGACACACAGTGAGTGTGTTTACATGAACATCAGTGTCACAGTCATGATCAGGTTTTTTCAGTGTCCTGGTTATTAGAAACTGTGATACTGGAGCTGGTTTATTCAGATAGTAACTGTGATACTTGTGACATGTAAACGCAGTATCACAGTTACTGCAACATAAAGTTGAGTCACATGTGTCCAAAAGACACTTTCAGGTCTTTTCACCACAACAGTAGAGACATAAATAAAATGACCAACATAAATAAATTGACCAACATAAATAAAGTGACCAAACGAGTGAAATAACTGTAAAATAAAGAGCTGCACTAAACCTGCACATGTACAATCTGCACTCGTGTGACGCTGAAAAACTAAAACATGAACTATCTCCTGTACGACACACACACAGAACAGACTCACCATCATCAGCACCTCTTCTGTCACTAAAACAACTCACATAATCCACTGAGTCGAGTCTTTTAGTCCAACACAAACTGAACCACATCAGACACAGGAAACAACAGTTTTTATCACACACATTCGTTTATGTAAATGAGTCATGTGGTTTCATTTCTGTAAAACATAAACAAATCTGTTCAAAGTTGAATGATCTGATCAAACGGGCTGATGTGGTTTTGTTTTTTATGTTGTAAAGTTGAGTTTGTTTATGCAGAAGATTTTAATGAAGAATGTGTTTGGTTTGATGTGTGCAGTGGATTGTGGGAGATCTCAGAGTCAATGTGTAGTTAGAACATTTGGGAGGTTCACGCTGGTGGACGCAGATGATCTGTGGAGCAGGTTCATGTCGGTTTAAACCAGGAGAGTCAAACTCATGTTGTTCCGGGCGTCGTGTCCAACCGACTCTGATCCCAAAGTGTCCGGATCAGAAAACTCATGTCATATAAACCCCAAAAATAACAAGAAGTTCAAATATTTGTGCAGAGAAACACAAATCTATTACAGAAATCTTTTTTAATTGATGAACTCTTTCTTTTACAAAATATTATAATATTATGAACAACCTGAAACTTTAAGAAAAATACAATTTCAACACAAAGTTTGAACATGAACTTGTCTGTAAACAGGAATAAGTCCATTTTTGTTGTAAAATCCTGCACTCGGCTCCACTTTTCTCATGTTGGACATTTTTCTGATGAGGGTGTCACGGTCAACAGTCAAAACGATCGTCCTTTAAGAGCGTTTGGAAAGAGACAAGTCTTCATTTGTGCTGCTCTGGTGGGAGGGGCCACGTACAGAGACGCTGGAGACGCTGCTGTGATAAACACCACAGAAAATTAACACCATTTTAATAGAAAATATCATTAAAATATTTTAGTAGAAAATCAGCCAAGGGCCAGATTAAAGGTGTTGTAGGGCCGGATCTGGCCCCCGGGCCGCATGTTTGACACCTGTGGTTGAGATGATCTGGACGCTGGACTGTAAATGAGGCTCGAGCTTCTGTGTCAGAGGAGCTGCGTCTTTGTGTGACGTGTGCAAAGTGTTTTGTGGTTTAATAAATCGTCGTCTTCGTCGTGCAGGTCAACAACTGCACCCACCTGACCCCGCCCCCTCACACATCACCATGACAACCACCACGGAAACACAACAGCTCCAACAGATCAGTGTGTGTGTGTGTGTGTGTGTGTGTGTGTGTGTGTGTGTGTGTGTGTGTGTGTGTGTGTGTGGGCAGGGACTGTTCTCATGGGAAAGAGACCTCCTCTGACCCTCTCCTCTGTGACTACAAACACCACTAAACCAGGACTAAACCAGGACTAAACCAGGACTAAACCAGGACTAAACCAGGACTAAACCAGGACTAGACCAGGACTAAACCAGGAACCAGGACTAAACCAGGACTAAACCAGACAGGACTAAACCAGGACTAAACCAGGACAGGACTAAACCAGGACTAAACCAGGACTAAACTAGAGCAGGACTAAACCAGGACTAGACCAGGACTAAACTAGACCAGGACTAAACCAGGACCAGGACTAAACCAGGACTTAACCAGGACTAAACCAGGACCAGGACTAGACCAGGACTAGACCAGGACTAGACCAGGACTAAACGAGGACCAGGACTAGACCAGGACTAGACCAGGACTAAACCAGGACTAGACCAGGACTAAACCAGGACTAACCAGGAAACCAGGACTAAAACCAGGACCAGGACTAAACCAGGACTAAACCAGGACTAAACCAGGACTAAACCAGGACTAGACCAGGACTAAACCAGACCAGGACTAAACCAGGACTAAACCAGGACTAAACCAGGACTAGACCAGACCAGGACTAGGACTAAACCAGGACTACTAAACCAGGACTAGACCAGGAAACCAGGACAAACCAGGACTAGACCAGGACTAGACCAGGACTAAACCAGGACTAAACCAGGACTAGACTAAACCAGGACTAGACCAGGACTAAACCAGGACTAGACCAGGACTAGACCAGGACCAGACTAAACCAGGACTAAACCAGGACTAAACCAGGACTAGACCAGGACTAACCAGGACTAGACCAGGACTAGACCAGGACTAAACCAGGACTAAACCAGGACTAAGACCAGGACTAGACCAGACCAGGACTAGACCAGGACTAGGACTAGACCAGGACTAGGACCAGGACTAAACCAGGACTAAACCAGGACTAGGTCTAAACCAGGACTAGAACAGGACCAAACCAGGACTAGAACCAGGACTAAACCAGGACTAAACCAGGACTAGACCAGGACTAAACCAGGACTAAACCAGGACTAAACCAGGACTAAACCAGGACTAAACCAGGACAGGACTAAACCAGGACTAAACCAGGACTAGACCAGGACTAACCAGGACTAGACCAGGACTAAACCACTGACCAGGACTAGACAGGACTAGACTAAACCAGGGACCAGGGACCAGGACTAAACCAGGACTAGACCAGGACTAGACCAGGACTAAACCAGGACTAAACCAGGACTAAACCAGGACTAGGTCAGACTCCACACAGAGTTTGTCACTGTTCTGTTGTAGATCAGATTTTCTCTCACCTCCGTCTTTCTGTCTCTTCTATTTTCACTCGTTTTCTGACCTGTTCTCCTCCCTCCTCCTCTCCTCCCTCTCTCTTTCTCTCCTCTTCTCTCCTCTTTCTCTCTCTCTTCTCTCTCTTCTCTCTCTTCTCTTTCTCTTCTCTTTCTCTTCTCTTTCTCGTCTCTTTCTCTTCTCTTTCTCTTCTCTTTCTCTCTTTCTCTCTCTTTCTCTTCTCTTTCTCTTCTCTTTCTCGTCTCTTTCTCTTCTCTTTCTCGTCTCTTCTCTCTCTTCTCTTCTCTTCTCTTCTCTTTCTCGTCTCTTTCTCTTCTCTCTCTTTCTCGTCTCTCTTCTCGTCTCTTCTCTTTCTCGTCTCTTTCTCTTTCTCTTCTCTTTCTCGTCTCTTTCTCGTTCTCTTTCTCTCTCTTTCTCTCTCTTCTCTTTCTCTTTCTCTTCTCTTTCTCTTCTCTTTCTCTCTCTTTCTCTTCTCTTTCTCGTCTCTTTCTCTTCTCTTTCTC